GAGAAATAAAACAGCTGAGGAATATAAATCTAGAGATGACGAATAGGTTCCTACGCCACTTGTAAAGCTGGCAGGAATAATTTTCTACTGATCTCCCGTGCAAATGCTCCAAGACAACTCCAGCCACGTCGAGGCCGCACACGCCCACCTGGCAGCTCCTGCTTTGGCCAGCGCGTCCGCAGGCCTCCTCCCGCAGGCTGAGGCGCAACCCAGCGGCGGCGGCGGGCAGGAGCCACCGCACCAGCCCACCATGTCCTTTGAAGCATACATGACCTACGACCAACTGGAGAAGCAACAGAGCAAGGCGGGGAGACCTTGGGCCGCCGCCCTCCGAGGGAAAGGACCTCAGCGAGCAGAGCCCCCAAGCCGCGGTGCAGGTGCCGACTGGCTGCAGAAATGCCCTGAGGTGACCCACAGCCAGCAAGGGAAGCTGCAGCCGGCTGGGGCCCATGCGGCCGAGCTGCAAGACTCGGCCCCTGCCGCCGCGCCCAGCACCCACGCCAGGGATGGTCCCTCTCACCCACTGCCTTCCTGCCCACCCAGGACAAAAGCGCCCTCTGCCGCCCAGCAGGAGGAAGACGCTGCATTTTCGGGTCCCAGATTCCAGACCAAGATGCAAGTCTATGCAGGTGCCAGGCACGCAACCCGAGGGATGACGGAGAGCCCAATGTGCATCGCGGGACTGGAACCCATCGCGTCCCCCTCTGCTGGCAGAGGAGTCCCTCCTCACAGCCTCCCGGGACCTCTGCTGGAGCAGCACACGCCTGAAGAGCTGCAGCGTGTAGAGAGAGACAACCCCGAACTCCTGCAAGAAACGGATCCCTTATGGAAAAGGCACTGTCAGCGAGACTTCAAGGGGGAGAAACCGGCGGGGCAGGAGTCGTGGCGGCAGATGTACCTGCGCCTTCAGAGCGCCCGAGAGCGGCGCCTGCAAGCGCTCACGGCCGCCATCCGATCTACACACGCCAGCAAGCCCAAAGGCCGGCAGGCCAAGATGATCCGTTTCCACGGGATGCCCGGGCCTGCTGGGGATGCTCCCGGGAGGCAGGACGCGCTGCACACAGCAGGAGCCAGTGCCCCGCGTGCCCCGGGCCCCGCAGGAAGCGACCGGGCTCCTTCCTGCAGCAGCACCCAGCACAGCGACAGCAGCCTCTCTCCCCCTCCAGCGGACAGGCCAGCCCAGCCGGGCCCAAGCAAGAGACTTGCTCCCTGGGCGCCTGGGGGCACCACCAGAAAGCAGGCACCGCCTGGGGGCAGCACCAGAAAGCAGGCGCCCAAGAAAATCGCCCCTCTCATGGCTAAAAGCATCCGAGACTACAAGGCACTCTCCCGCAGGTGAACCCAGGACTCAGCGTGGACACAGAGTACGGCGAGTGGGGGAAGTCAAGGCAGTGTGCGTGGGGCCAGGAAACTCCCAAGAGAAACCACTTTCCGTCCGTCAGTCAGTCAGTCAGTCAGTCGCTCTGGGGGAACAGTGGGTGGGCTCGGAATCCTGCCAAGTTCCAAGCCTCTCCTGGGATCCTGCCTGCCTGCGGGACACTTGGATTCGGAGGGTGGCATGCCTTAGATTCCCCGAGGTGATTGGGATCAACTGGCCTCGAGTTATTCACTGGGTGCTTTGTACAGCATGCAATGGTTGGAGTGAATGCGTATTCCTGGATTGGACATGGATGGACTAATAAAGACGTAAAGCACTCAACCTGGACCTCTGTGTGTGTTTCTGTGTGTGCGTTTCTGTGTATCTCACTCTGTGTGTGTGTGTGTGTGTGTGTGTCTGTGTGTGTGTGTGTGATTTCTCCTGAGAGTAGATTTGTCCTTCTCCTTCTTGGAAACAACCCCGGTCTCTCGAGCCCTGGCTGCTCCACTTTCGATGTGGATCCCTGCTAAAGACCTGGAAAAAGCTGCGGAGGGTGGCCCAAGGGTGTGGGTCCCTGCAGCCACATGGCACATCTGGAGGAAGTGCCCGGCTCCAGGCTTCAGCCTGCTCCAGGGCTAGCCACTGCAGCCAACGGGGGAGTGAACGACCAGAAGGAAGACCACTGGGTCTCTCCCCCTACCTGAACTCGGACGGCCAAATAAGGAAATTCTGAAGAAAGAAAGAAAGAAAGAAAGAAAGAAAGAAAGAAAGAAAGAAAGAAAGAAAGAAAGAAAGAAAGAAATTAAGTAGAGAGAGAGAGAGGTCCTCTCAGGTTCAGCCCCGTCCGTGTCCCACCCCCCAGTGGAGCGCCTTCTCTCATGATGACAAGTTCCAAGTCTATCCATCAGCCCGTAGGGGAAAACAGTGGATCCCGACATGTAGTGCCGTGTTCTGCTTCGCCCAGCGGGGGAGCCGGTCTGGTACCCATGGCATCCTCCCAGTTGAAAGCAGAGGGCTAAACCCCGTTTCAAACAGGAGCAGGGGAATGATGGGGTCTGGCTCAGGCTCTAGGACTAACGTTCAGGTCATCTGAGAGAAGAGAAGGAGCATCCCTTCCGTCAAGAAGAATGGCTCCGTGGCCCACTGTCTCCCACGATGGGATGGGATAGGGCAGGTCGGCGGCAAGGCAGGGCAGCGTCTGGGCTGGTCTGCCGAACACCGGGCCATTGTGCTCGACTAGTGATCGTCATGCGCTGATCCATGTCTCGGCACACCCACACCACGG